CTTCCGGGTCCTTCTTTCCGTACTTCTCTGAGATCTTGTCTACACAGCCTACGGCTATGTGCTTATAAGCCATATCATCAGATACTCTGATGATGGCTGTTAGGTGAGGTAGGAATGCGAGCAAAGCCGCCCTGGAGTTAGCATCCCCTTGGTTCTCCTCGTCGATTCGGACTTCGACAGCCCGGAGGACTTTCCGGCGTAAGACAGTATCGGGCCGATCCAGAAGTGTTTCGACGGCTTTGATAAATTCTCCGATGGAAAGGAGGTTTAGAAGCTTCGAAAGTGCCTCACCGCAGCGGTTATACAGGTTCTTCTGCTGCTTTAACGAGTCCGCCAGAACTAAGAGGTTTTCCAACAGAGTTGAATAGAGCTCGCGGACTTTAGAAGCCTCCATGTCATCCCGTTCAGTGAGCTTGGCGATTTGCGTGGTAAGCTTCCTGCTAGATAAAATATGTGGAACAAGACCCAGCTGACGAAATCCGATTTTGAGGGGATCTCGGTCGCCTTGTTCACTCGCACCAAGAAGGACGGCAGAGAGATTAGGTCTCGGCTGGAATATGTCCCCAATAAGATTGAGTAGTTTTATCAAAGACTGGAGCTGGACTTCGACTGGGAAGTAGTTGAAGACTTCGGTAGCAAATGATAACACCTGATCGGTAGTGCCATACATGTTCGTAAGCATGGCCAAGAGCGCAAATAAGAATTCTTCAGCACCGAGCGTCTCTACAAGGGACACGAATAGCCCAAGTCTTCGATGAGATGGTATATGTTCATATGCGGTCGCAAAACTGAGCAAAAGCTCAGAGGCTCCTGCCAGCGGGCTGATCTTTCCTTTACGGAGTGATTGGATAAGTGGTGGCACGACCTCCTTGACTGTCTGGTTGATCACATGAGCAGAGTAATCATCGCTCTGGCGGAGTACCGAGCCTCCCATATGTGTGAAGATCGGCATCACACTATTAAGTACCAAGTCTGGAGCGACGTTTGCTAAGCGTGCGACAAGTAGGAGTGCAGTATTTTGCACCGATGGGCTCGACGATTTCTGAATGCAATTGACAAGCAGATCACCGTGTCCACCCGTGCTATCGATCTTCAACGACTTGTCGTGCTTGTACGCAGGGACCATAGCCAATAAACTCCGAAGAATCAGATTCTGAAGATACCCTAGTTCTGAACCGACAAGTACTCTGAAATGTTGCAGTTCCGAAAGGGCGTTGAAAAGAGCATTGAGTAGTTCCGGGTGCTTTTCAGGCTCAGACCCCTCGACAAGCTGTAACACAAAGGTCACTTGCCTGAGCACCGCGCTCAACTCTGGGGTTGGTTGCGTACCAAGTCCCCGATGGGTTTCCGAGGAACTGGTTCTCCTCCGCTTGCCCGATGGGGGTTCGGTAGCCATCTTCGCTGCTGGCTGCAAAGACTCTAAGAAGAACAGGAGGATATCGGTCGTGAGTTCGACATTCCTTAGAAGATTGGCAGCTTCACTGGAGACTACACCACTATCACTAGACAGGTCGTTCTGTGACAACTCAAGCATACGTTTGGCAACCATATGCCTCGCTTCCGTTTTCATAGAGGGCCATGAATTCTGAATGCGCGAGAAAATAACGCGGAGGAGGTTTAGCCTAGTTAGCAGTTGCTGAGACCCCACAACATCTAACAAGAACTCTAAGCCATCTTTATCGTTTGGAAGTACAATTTCGACACAGCTTTGATCAAAAGATGACTCTTCGATCCCGTCTCGAGAGCAGATACGCGTAGCATCTTCGGAAGACAAGGAAGACCACCATTTGAGTAGTGGTAAGAGTAATTGGGTACGGGTAGTGCCCGATACGCCCTTAACCTGGTTTAGAGACGCGAGAAGGCGGATCTTGAGAGTCATTAGTGGCGTGTGAATCGTGTGGGAAGCGAGAAAAGTTAGCACAGAACGTCGCGTTCCATGAGAAAGGTGGCTCTTCTTATCCTTATTTTCATCAGTCGGAGTTTTCGAGCTACTATTTAATACGCTCTGCAGAACCTCGATAACGTAATCGGCACTTAATACGCATTCCTCAAGGCTAGGGGCAATGACATTCCGTAGTAGTTTGTGACAGACGTCTACTGTCGTCCAAACCGATGCGTCAGCATTATCATATAGATGGTTGTTAGCCCAGCGTGTGTAGTTCTCAGATTTAACTAGCTCCTGGAATAGGGGTTCTAGCACGGTGACCAGGTCTGCGGCAGCGCGTCGCACCCTTTTCGATGGGTCATTTAATCCCGCCAGGGTATATGGCAAGAGAGCCTGGAAATCTATGCTACTGCAATCGCTGCTCTTTAGGCGTAGTTTTGCCATATCCAGAGCTGCGACACGAGCTAAGACGGGATATGGCCCGCACCAGATTCTCATAAGGAACGTGAAGAAAAAGGGAGTTTCGTTTGCTAATTTATGCTGTATAGGTGCCAATTCCTCGAAAGCTTTGAGGTTATCTGGCTCTGTAAGACCGGAAAGGAAAACAGAACACAAATCAGTGAAAACATCAGAAGTATTAGCTCGTAGACACGAATCCGATGATGAGACCGATAAGTTGCTAACCCGCTGAAGGGCAGATTTGAAGTCTTCGACGGGCGCGGGTGTTTGTAATTCGTTATCCACCATTGCAACATCTTGTTGAGGCTCGATCGCAAGTCGTCTCGCTTGAAGATTAGTACCAAGTCTCAATTCTAGCGCATCCACGTCGATTTCGGTCTCATTGATCGCTTTAATGAAGATCTTCCCGGAGTCCGTCTCTAATTGAGAGAGCTTGATGATTATGGATGCGAGAGCCTTTCGCACCTCTCCTTGCGCATCAATGCTGTCCTCGACTTTATGAGCTGCTAATAATAGACTCTTGAAAACGACTGCTCTCTGTTGATCGTTAAGAGTGGAGCTCAAGAGTAGTGACTCGACCACTGATAGACCCTTTATGTCACCTTTCTTGTGAGCCCTCTCAACCAAAGCTAGACAGAGTCCATTTGCTAATTTCCCAATGCTGTGTTCTCTGCCAATCTCAGTAAGGAGGCCAGACAGATTCGGGATTTTAAGCAGCGCCCTTGTTACTTTTCCTGACATTTGCTTTGCAGAACGGTACTGGGCAAGGATTGAGAGACAGACAAGACCAGGACGGAGAGACTCGGTAGTCCATCCAGCAACGAGCTGGTCCATCAAGGCACTGATAGCAGCATCGTCGAGGTCACCCTTCGCCACGAAAACCGAGATCACCATATAGCAGGCTATTTGCAGACTAGGGACCTTGTGCATTACTAACGCGTCACCAAGAGTTGGGCCAATCTGGTGTAAGAGAGTCTGATCGTTGCTTCGTTGGATACTGCGGCGACCGGATCGCATCCTGTCTAGCATGCCATTCACTGCTTCGGTCATAATACCGCCCCAGAATGATATCAGAGCAGGGTAGTGTTGTTGAGCCCTGCATGCATCTAGGGTGTATGCCGAAAGCGCAGCAAGGAAGTCGGGATGGTGTGTAGCTTGATGAACGAGAACAGATCTTGGCGGCTGGGTCAAGGATCGAACGTAGGGGTCTAAGAACTTGTACACCTGGGGTATCGTACTAGGGAGGATAGATAGGAGAGTCACAAAGGCCGGGATAGTATGGTACGGTAGAAATGTCGAAATGAGCATAGCCGTGTTATATTCGTGAATCCTATCGCAATGTTAAAACTCGGATTTAGTAGTACATATTTTGCACGCCTACCTGAACCTCCTAATAAGCCATTCTATGGCCTTGATAGTTGGCATGAGCCTTATCCGCGCGCCAGCTAGGTGAAGAAAGGAGTCTATCTTCTTGTCAAGCTCTGCATTCTCGGCGGCAGTCATCTGAGTCCGGTCCTCATTTTGGCTTTGCTCGCTGAATATAGTAGCGCCAAAGGGCACAAATCGAGAGTCTAGTTGACATAGCTCTTCATATCCTTGGTAGCAGATACTATATAAGGTCTGGAAATTTTGTGACGCGGCAACTCGCGGCTCGAATATCAACGACTTCGAATGTGCAGCTTTTTGCGCCTTGATATCAAGTGTCGACTTCGAATTCGCAGCGATCTGCGCGAGTTGCGCAGCCAATGCTGTCGTCATCTTGGTGTTCGTACTGGCAGCGCACTTATTTCCATCAGAAAATCCTGGCCTCGAGATTTGGGAGTTTCCGTGGCTAACAGGCGCGCGTTCAATTATCTGCCGGGAGACCTTTTCGTGATTTGCAATTGAACTTTTCTCCCAAAATTTTAGCGGGGAGTAAAGTTTCCTAAGCAGAGGCGTTCGCCGATAAGAGGTCTGGCGAATCAAATAATATAGATAATAGGAGTCCCACTTTTACCAACATCTAATGTCTTACAATTTCCGAATTAAGCGCCAACAACTTACAAGACCATGTACCTATGTACCTATCCTATAGAAAAACTATATGTACTTCCCTGCCGAAGAGATGTAGGTGGCTTTCGCTTCCTTCTAATGACAAGTTTGGTAACGTCATTATGTATGAGGGTTTAGGCTATATTTTTTCAGTGCTGTAATCTTGCGTCGAGATAATGTACGTTGTCATCACTCCCTATCAAGTACCTAATAGAAGCGGCAGTCTTTTTATTAGCTGTTATCTATATTATTGTCTTTACCATTGCTTTCCATGCTACGATCTTCTTTCGGAAGTTTCGTCTAACTTATTTTAATACGACGAGATGATGTAGCTTAGTTAGACCCGTAAATATCATGTAGGCAAACGGATTGGTATTATTAAGTAACAATATGTTGACGAGAATCGAATCTAAACTCGATACTATAACCTTCACATGTCAACGAAAGGAGCGAGCTTCATGAAAAGCCCCTGGTGAATATATTGAAAATGGAACCACAGTGAAACATTGATAGTGTTGGGCATTAACGAAACCTGGACGCAAAGCATGTTGGCATCAGAAGAAATGTAAACTCTTCAAGGTTAAAGAGTTACGGGGCCAAAGGGATATATTATACGGCGGAAATCGAGAAGATATCATTATTCTTAACCCCTGATTGGCGGGTGCGTTCCAGTTCCAACGCCTTCGGTAGAAATACTCCCGCAGTGATCGGGCCGTACCTACTTACCTACCTACCTATGCATGCGTTACGGGTAGCCGACCAACTCTCCCCTCATCCCTCTGTCCACTATTTTAGCTTGAGTTTGTCCGGTACCTAGGCAGTTTGTGGGTGTGGCTAGTTTCAATCTCAACCTCGCTACTAGTACTGAGCAACTTACATTCTTCCAAGTACTCAGTTGAGACCATGGCTGTGAGTGTCACGACATACTCTCCCTTTCTTGCTATCAAGTTCATACTTCGGAATCTAATGTTCGTGATAGAAACCATATAATCAAGTAGTCCTTTTTGGGGATTCGCTCTTCCAAGGCGCTAGCGAAGTTCAAGGTGGCTTCTCGTTCCAAGGTGCTCTACAAAGTCGTATGTCAACACATTCTCAGACAAGCTTATCGTGCTTATTTCTGAATCGTTCATAGAGTGTATGCGACACCTAGACGTGATCAACAGAGGATTCTCCGGCTACAATACCAAGAATGCCTTGCAATTGCTTCCGCAGATATTCTTGCCGCCGTCACCCTCAAATCCGAGAATAGAGTACCTTGTAAGTAAAATGATATTCGCTTGTCTGTCCGAGTTCTCGTTTGTTGTGCGCCTAGCATATTTATGCCCGCAGGGTCTGATGATTGTATATTACAGCTAGTCTTGCTAGGTGCGAATGATGCGTGCATCGATATTCCGACCAACACTCAGGGCGTCCCAATCGATCAATATAAAGAGAACTTGACTAAGATAATCACTCACGAATACATTAAAGCCCACGGCCCTAAGATCCTGCTTGTTACGCCCCCTCCTATTGATGAAATCCGAATTACCGAGCTTGACCTGGCACTCGGACATCCGCAGGCAACGCGGCAAGCGGCCGTTAGCGCTGCTTATTCTGAGACGGCTAGAAAGGTGGCGGTAGAAATTCCTGGGGTGGTGCTTATCGACCTCCAGAAAGCCATCCTGGATAAAGCTACCTCCCTAACGGCGGATTTCGACGCGGGCGGGTCTCCCTTGGGATATCCTGGAGGTAAAAGAGGTGCCTTGGAGCAACTTTTGCCAGATGGATTACATATGAGCGGAGATGCTTACAAGGTCTTATTTGACATTGTCAAGCCACATATCGGCCCATTCCCAGAGAAGCAGGGAGTTTTCCCAGATTGGCGTGTGCTTAACCCTGGGACGTTATAATTGTTCATACATATATATAGTTATGACATATATTAGGTACCTACCCGGGTGGGGGAGGTTTTAGAACAGAATAACTTTACTTTATTAAAGTTGGATAATGCGGTAACGTTTTTTAAATATATTAATAAAAATATATTATTTTATTTTTAATAAATTATAATATGTATTTAAAAGGTTGCTTATAAATTGCAAAATTTTATTTATAAAAATTACTTTTTATTATTAATAATATTAATTTAAATATATTATAATAATATATCTTTATTATTTTTAAATAATAATAATTAAAAAGTATATAATATTTTGTAAAAATAAAAATTTAATTTATTTATACTTTTTATTAATATAATTTATTATTAATATATATATATTTAATAAAAAATTTAAAAATATATTTAATTAATTTACTTAAATAAATATAATTAAATATTAAAGTAAAGTTTATTTTAAAATTTTATAAGTTTAAATATATTTTATATTAATAAAATTAATTATTAAAATTTAATTATTTAATTAAAAGTTTAATTATATTTGTAAATATATTTATATAATAAAAATGTAATGGTATATTTTTATTTTATTGTAAAAAAATGTAATATTTTATAAAATATATTTAAAAAATTTTAAAGTTATAAAAAAAACTTATTTTTACGGTAAATATTTATTAATAATATTATAATAATAAAACTAATAATAAAATTATTAAAAATAATATAAAAAGTTAAATTTTATTATTATAAGATTTTTTAATTTTTATAATTATATATTTTATATTTTAATTAAAAAAAAAAATCTTATATAATTTTATAATATATTTTATAATTTATATAATTATTATTATATAAAATAGATAATAAATATAACATTTAATTTTATTAATATATAAAATAATAAAAAATATAAAACGTAAAAATAATAATGTTAATTATATTATAATATTATATTATATTTTAATTATAAAATTATATAATAATATTAAAGGTAAAATATTATTAATAAAAATAAATTAATAAATTAAAAAAGTTTTAAAAAAATGGTAAAGTATAAAATATTTTTTTATAAATTTATTTTATTACAAAAATTTTATATAATATTAAATATTTTAAATATTAAAAAAATTATTAAATTAATAAACCTTTTATTATATTTAATTTTACCATTAATGTTAAATATTTAAAATTAATTATATTATATTTTATAAAATTAAATAATTAAAATAAAATAAATATTATAAATAATATAATTTAAATATTAATAAAATTTTAATAGTTAAAAAAAATATATAATAATATATTTCTATAAAATTTAATAATTAAAACAAATATTTATTAAAAATAATTTTATATTTTTATAAAATTAAAAATTAAATATAAAAATTTAATTTTTAAATTATTTAAAATAAAAAGTAAAATATATTTTATGGTATATTTTAATATTATATAAATATTTAATATAAATTATAAAAAAAAAAAAAAAATTAATATATTTTTATTTTAAATATTTATATTATTTTTATTTAAACTTTTATAAAACCAATATTAATCTAGTTTATTTTAATCTTTTATAATTTTTAAACCAAAAATATTACTACCATTATTATTTTTACTATAATACTTTATTATAATATTAATTTTATTTACGCCAAAATTAATAATATTATTTTAAATATTAAAATTATTAATTTTACGTAAAATAATATTTTTTTTATTAATAAAATTTATTTTAATATTAAAAAATTTATTATTATTAATATTAATTTTTTTTTTTTTTTATTATTATTACCTTTAATTTTACTAGTATTAATTTTATTAATATTAATTTTATAAACGTTAATTTTAATAATATTAATTTTATTATTATTATTTTTATTAATGTTAATTTTATAAACATTAATTTTAATAATATTAATTTTATTATTATTATTTTTATTAATATTAATTTTATAAATGTTAATTTTAATAATATTAATTTTATTAATATTAATTTTATTAATATTAAAATTATTAACGTTAAAATTATTAATATTAAAATTATTATTATCGATTTTATTAATATTAATTTTATTAACGTTATTAATTTTATTACTTTTAAAATTATTATTATTAATTTTATTAATATTAAAATTATTATTATTAATTTTATTAATATTAATTTTACTAATATTAAAATTATTAACGTTAAAATTATTAAAATTAAAATTATTAACGTTAAAATTACCAATATTAAAATTATTAATATTAAAATTATTAATATTAAAATTATTATTATTAATTTTATTAACGTTAATTTTATTAATATTATTAATTTTATTATTTTTAAAATTATTATTATTAATTTTATTAATATTAAAATTATTATTATTAATTTTATTAGCGTTAATTTTATTAATGTTAAAATTATTAATATTAATTTTATTAATATTAAAATTATTATTATTAATTTTATTAATATTAATTTTATTAACGTTAAAATTATTAATATTAATTTTATAAACATTTAAATTAAATTTTACTTTTTTTACCGGATAACCTATATAAATCTTCTTTAAATTTAAACGTTTTATACTTTTAAATTTTATTATAACTTTAAGTTTTACTATGGTTTTAAACTTTACCGTAATTTTAAACTTTATTATAATTTTAAATTTTATTATAATTTTAAATTTTACCGTAACTTTAAGCTTTACTATAACCTTGGATTTTATAATTATTTTTTCTTTATTTATAAAATTTAATTTTTAAACCTTTTTTTATAAATATTTAAATTTAACATTTTTTTTTTTTTATTTATTAAAATTTATAATTATTTATTTTATATTAATAAAATTTACGTAATTAATAATAACATTTTTAAAATAAAAGTTAATTAACATAATTATATTATATATTTATTAAATAAATCTTTTATATTTATTATTATTTATAAATTTAATAAATATTTTACGTATTTTTTTTAATAATTATAACTTAATATTTCCGTATATAATAAACGCATTAAAATATTCATATTTATTTATTATTAAATTAAATCTTTTTTTTTTTTTTTATTTTTTTTTATTTTTTTTAGCCTTTATTAACGCGGCTTATAATATTTTTAAAAAATGCACAATATGTAAAAAAGTTGCTACGATAAAACATTTATAAAATTATAAAAATTAATTATTATTTAAAACGTTTTTATAAAAAATATATTAAATTAAATTAAAATATAAATTTATAATATTTAATATTTTTATAACTTTAATAAATTATATAACGAAAAAATAAATTTATAAAATTAAAATTTAAAAAGTAAATAATTAATATATAAATAAATAAAAATAAAAATTAAAATGTAGATAAAATATAAATAAAAAATGTAAATATTAAATATATTAATCGGTAAAAAAATATTTAAATTTTTAATATATAAAATAAATATAAAAAATAGTAATAATATATAATATTTAATAAATAATATATATAAATCAAAAAATATCTTATAATTTAAAACGTTATAATATAAAAGTTAAATATTATAAAAATATTAAAATAATATTATATTTACTTTATTTAAAAATAATAAATATAAAAAAGAAATTTTTTAAAATAATACCATAAAATTGTTAAGATTTAAAAACGTAATATATTAATTTTATATAAAAATATAATATAATAAATAATTAAAATGGTAAAAATAAATATAAGATTTTTATAAATTAAAATTAATATATTAATTTTAAAAAAGTTAAAAAATAACTTTAATTATTATTATAATATTTATTAATTTACTTTTATTTAAAACTATTAATATAATATAAAAAGTTTAAATAAAATGTTTATATTATATTTTTTTAATAAATAAATATATTATTATTTTAGTAAAATTATTTTATCTTTTAAAAATGGCAAAATATTAAAATAAAGATATAATAGGTAAAAATTCTAAAGTTTTTTCTTTTTAATATAAAATTTATAATTATTTTTATTTATATTTATTATTTTAATTATACTAATTTTATTTTTATATTTAATATAAATTATATTATATAATAATTTAACCATTTTTTAATAAAATATTTATTTTATATTAAATTATATTATAATTTAATAATATAGTAAAGTTTTTTTTCTATTTTTTTTTTTTATAAAATATTAATAAATTATTTCTTTTATTATTTTAAATAATTTATTAAATAATAATATCTTTACGTTTTAAACTATATAAAAATAAATATTATAAAATATTTTTATAATATTATTATTATATTTATTAATATTTATTAAATATTAAAAATCTTTTATATATTTATAAACTATAATATTTTATTAAAATATATTTAATAATTTTATATTAAATATAAATATTTTATAATAAATTAAAAAACTATATAAAATTAACTATAAATATATAATCTTTTAAATTTATAAAAACATATATATAAAATATATTAAAATATAATCTTTATTAAAGATATATATAATAATTACCATAATTTTAATAAAGTAATAAATATTCTTGTAATTATTCTAATTTTAATAAAAATTATTTAAATTTTATATAAAAAATAAATATTTTAATATAATAAAGTTAAATTTAATAAAAAATAATTATATATTAAATAAAAACTATTAATTTTATTATATTAATATAAATTTAATAAAAATTTATTATAAATTAAATAAAAATTATTAACTTTATTATATTAATATAAATTAAATAAAAGATTTTTATAAATTAAATAAAAATTACCAATATTATTATATTAATATAAATTTAATAAAAAATTAATATAATTTAAGTAAAAATTTTTAACTTTATTATATTAATATAAATTAAATAAAAAACTGCTATAATTTAAATAAAAATTATAAATATTATTATATTTATTATAAATTTTATTAAATAATGTTAAAATTTAAATAAAATATATTTTTAAATATATGGTAATTTTGGTTTTATTTAAAAAAAAGTATGGTAATTTATTTATATTTATAAAATAATATATACTAATAATATTAAATTATTAATATAATAATAAATTTTAAAAAAATAATATTATTTAAGTAAAAAGTAAGATTTTATTATAATATATATTATAAAAAAAGAAAAATATTTTTTAAATTTATAAAAATAATATATTTAAATATATTAAATATTATAAATTTAATTTAT